AAAGATCTATTAATCAATGCCCAAAAACTGTCTCTTATACACATCTAGATGTGTATAAGAGACAGACCCAACTTGCATTAAATACCATCAAAATAATGAAATTTACCATTTACATGCTAGACTTCATTCATTTGCACTCCCCTCCCCTCCCTTCCCATTGTATCCTCCCCATTGAACCCCTTCCTCTGAACACCATCATGGGGTGTATATGCTCCTCCTAGCTCTCCTAGATACCTTCTATGGATTCCTGGCTACAAGCCTTCAAACATTTTATGCAGGTCTATGCTCAAAGTATTATCTTGTCTGTCAGAAATCATTGAAGTTTAACTGAAAATAGCGGGGCTTCAATAAAACGGCTATAACTTTTTTTTTTCTCCAAGGAGGATTGAAGAGGAGTTTCCACATGTTGAAGAGGACATTCGTGTGCATCGATTGATACCAAAAAAGCTTTGTTAACAATTTTTCCCGGTAGCCCAGGATTTTGACCTAAATCGACCAGACTCTAAAACTTATTCCTCCATGGTATTACCAGGGAACAGTTAAATTAACTGTTACCTGGTAGTACATAGTCACACATCTAATACAGATAAGGATAAGAATTTGTTGGTTTTTCTATTTAAAAAAAAAAAAAACCTTATTTGACATTTTACCTCAGCCTCAATTTGTTTTTTTATATTTTGTTCTTAATTTTTAAGCAATTTCAGCCTCAGTGTTCTTATAAAATGTGTTCTATTAATAGCTTAATGGCCTAATGTAACTCATAGTGTTTGTTTGTATAATTATTATAATCCATGTCTTCAATAGCGTTATATCACTATTTAATAATAATATAATAATAATAATAATAATGATAATTTAATAAATATAAAGAGCAAATGCAAAAACATTGTTTATTCTTTATGAATAATACCGTAATTTAAGAATGATAATAATAACAATAACAAAAATAATATAAATGCAATAACTATAAAGAGCAAACTGTAATAACCTTGTTTATTCTATATGGATAGCAATGTTAAATATGTTGAAATATGTATATATATATATATTATATAATATATATATATATATACATATTGGTTAATGAAAAATACGATGCAATTCAATTCAATTCAATGTGCATTTATTCATAATTGTCAACATAGTCAAATGATACAAAAAATATACCTAGGTAAACTGAACTTATATAACAAAAATGACCATCATTTGGAAAACCTGTCTCACCTGACCCCATAACGATACAAAAAAAAAAAATATATACATACATATATATATATATATATATATACATATATATATAATATATATATAAATCATCAAAGAAAGGTAAATGCATAATAATACATCGTGTAGCGTAACACTCAACGAATTTTGTCATAAAAAATAAATAGATAAATACATTGTGTAAAAAAATGCTTCCGACGGGGTATCGAACCTGCGACCTCTCGCTGTAACGGCGAGCGTCATAACCATTAGACCACAGAGGCTTCATGGTTGAACAGATCCAATTAACCGTCAGGTACACTCTATTACACAATGCGCGTACGGGTGGAAATACATGGCATGTATAAATCAAGATAGCCGTTAACACTGTTAAATTATATATAAATCATCAAAAAAGATCTATTAATCGATCAGCAGTATACTTGAGGCAGTAGAGTATATTGGCCCTAACCACCGCATATGCAAAAAAGATCTATTAATCAATAACCAAAAAAGATCTATTAATCAATAACAAAAAAAGATCTATTAATCAATAACCAAAAAAGATCTATTAATCAATAACCAAAATAGATCTATTAATCAATAACCAAAAAAGATCTATTAATCAATAACCAAAAAGATATATTAATCAATAACCAAAAAGATCTATTAATCAATAACCAAAAAAGATCTATTAATCAATAACCAAAAAAGATCTATTAATCAATAACCAGAAAAGATCTATCAATGAATAACCAAAAAAGATCTATTAATCAATAACCAAAAAAGATCTATTAATCAATAACCAAAAAAGATATATTAATCAATAACCAAAAAGATCTATTAATCAATAACCAAAAAAGATCTATTAATCAATAACCAAAAAGGATCTATTAATCAATAACCAGAAAAGATCTATCAATCAATAACCAAAAAGATCTATTAATCAATAACCAAAAAAGATCTATTAATCAATGCCCAAAAAAGATCTATTAATAAATAACCAAAAAAGATCTATTAATCAATAACCAAAAAAGATCTATTAATAAATAACCAAAAAAGATCTATTAATCAATAATCAAATAAGATATATTAATCAACAACCAAAAAAGATCTATTAATCAATGAGCTGAATACACCTAGAGCTCCTCATCGGAGCTAAAAATGAACGAAAATGAAAGTGAACCACTAAATATATTCCAAAATAAATAATAATATTAAAACATTTAATAGGGCTATTAAAAAAACAATATTAGTAATTGATTTCTAATGATCAAAACACTAAATCAAGTACATTTTTGCTGAATTACATGCATTTTACTAAATATCTCTTGAATATTTCAGCTAGTTAATGAATCTTATGTAAAAATAGAAGATTAGAATTAATGTACTTTTTGTCATCATTATCATTATTAGTATCACCATACCATAAGCCTGGTATATCTTTGTGCAGTGAAGGTTATGAAACCGATTACAGTATTACGCTGTTCAGACTTGTATCTGGGTCTCAAATTGCCGATTCTATAACTGTTGCCCATCTTAATTATTATTGGCCCCTCTCAACATTCCTTTGCATCAATAATACTATTGTCTTTTTTTGTTATTATTATTGATAATAATAATAATGATAATGATAATAGTAATAATGATAATGATAATAATAATGGTGATAATACAGTAGAACCCTTACTTTGGGACACTCCTATTCAGGGGACACCCCTATTAAGGGGACACTTTCCGGTGAAACGAGGGGGCAATATTTCTTTTAACACTACATCTAACTACTATTAAGGGGACACCCCTATTGAGGGGTTGGGGACACCCCTATTGAGGGGTCGGGGACACTTTCTGAGTGTGCCAAATGGTGAAATAACCACTATTAAGGGGATACTTTTGTTTCATTGTATCACAACATCTACTATCTAAAGTACTATAAAAATAAGAAAAATTCATTTAACTTTACAATTTGAGCGATAAACCAGAATTCTTTTCCCCTTAATCAAGTGAATATCAGTATAGCCTACCGGTACTGCATGTGTTACTTCGTAAACCAATCTTGACAATTTTGACCCTTAACAAGGAGGATTTCTTTTTCTTTGTTTTTTTGTGTATTTCATATAGGATTCTAATCCATATCAAAACATATTACTCTATCATTGCTACATCCAATGCATCTAAAGAAAGCTCTAAGGTAACGTGATTGTTGTTATCTGTAAATAAACCAGTAATTGTTTACTTTTTCAGGACATTTCACATACACATTACACACATTAATCACATTATACTATATGAAACCAAATAAAATTATTTGATCATTTAATAACATTGCACAATCAAACAATATTGAGAACATATAAAACTATTTTTGATATTTCCATTTATGCTGATTTCATATTGTTGTTATCTGTAAATAAACCAATAATTGTTTACTTTTTCAGGACATTTCACATACACATTACACACATTAATCACATTATACTATGTGAAACCAAATAAAATTATTTGATCATTTAATAACATTGCACAATCAAACAATATTGAGAACATATAAAACTATTTTTGATATTTCCATTTATGCTGATTTCATATTATAAATAAATTCTATATTCATTGCAAATTATTGCAATAAATTAGTTCTTATAATCTACTGTAACTGATTTTTATGTCAATAAGAATAAAATTATAAAGAATGTATGTCATCCTACGTTATATAAAAAAAAATGCCAAAAGCCCTATTAAGGGGACAATTTTATGTTTTTGGTTAGTGTCCCCTGAATAGGGGTAGGCCCACCCTATTCAGGGGACACCACTATTAAGGGGACACTTTTTTTGGTCCCGAAGATGTCCCTTAATAGGGGTTCTACTGTAATTTCAGTAGTCATTATGGCTTTAGTTGTGATAATCCTAATGATTTTTTAATGTTTATATTATTATGCCTTATTTGTTAATTTATATATTGTTTTTTGTATTTTTAAATTTTTTTTTAATTAAATTAATTATTCATATATTCATATTCATATTGGTTATTTATATAGCGCATTTCTCTGCAGATACGAAGCGTTTTGTCCCTGGCCATTGGATCCACATGCTGAAGTGTTGCTGCTGTAATAAGCGCAGGAGCAAGCAACCCCAACAGGTACCCATTTATACTCCTGGGTGGAGAGAAGCAATGCAGATAAAGTG